AAAATATGTAATATTTGTTGTAATTTTCTGGGGAAAAAGAGATTTGACAATGTTAATAGAATGAATTATTTGTAAAACACTAACAATAGAGAGTCATAAAGCCTGAGTAAGAGCCTTAGATATTGTCTTCCAATGAAGGAACCACTTCTCCAGCATGGCTAGTAAGTGGTTATCCACCTCCTGCTTCAAGTCTTCCAGTAATAGCATTGAAGTGGAAATCACAGTGGTTTCCAGGCTTGTCTAGGTGATTCCAATAGGAATACCCAGGTACAAAAATTACTGGTACCTGGGTCCCATCTCCAAGTGATTCTAATATGAAGACATGTTTGGGAACTGGTAAAGCATGTAGAAAAGCACCTCAATCTTTTTCAACATTAGAGAATCTATAAAGAAGAGGAAACCTGGCTGATTTTATGAAAAGTCTAATAAGCATTTAGATGCCATTGACAGCATTTACAGCCACACTCCCTACCCTTCAGTATTGTATAATAAATAAGAAATATTTCCATTTAAATTCAAGAATGATTCATTAAGATAGCACACTGACAGAGTCCATGATGATGGTATAGTAGAAAATCCTGGACTGGGTGTTAGGATTTTTAGCTGCCCAACTTTAAATAACTTCAGACTTACAAAATACTTGTAAAAATAGTATAAAGAATTCCCATATGCCCTTCACCTAGCTTCCTCAAATATTAACACGTTATATAACTATAGTAAAAGTATTACAGGAAATTAACATTGGTATAATTCTATAAGCCTGCAAATTTTGCCAGTTATCCTACTATGAATTTTTTCTGGGCTAAGATCCAACCTGGGATCAAACATTGCATTTAGTTTTGTATGTGTTTGTTTGAAAAAAAATCAAATCGTTGAAACAATAGTACAATGAATTTGTGAACCCCCAAAATTTGAGACTGGTCTCAGTTAATTTAGTTTATTTTGTTAATTTAGTTTATTTTGCCAAGGTTGAGGAGGCACCCTTGACACCGCCTCAGGAAGTCCTGATGACATGTGCCAGAGTGGTTGGGGCACAGCTTGGTTTTACACATTGAGGGAGACATGAGACCTCAATCAATATATGTAAGAAGTACATTGGTTTGGCCTGGAAAGGCAGGACAACTTGAAGCAAAGGCAGGAAGGCTCTAACCTTGGCTGGAGCTTCCAGGTCACAGACAGGTGATACACAAAAGGGTTAACCATCTTCTTTTGAGTTTCTGATTTTGAGTTTCTACCTTTCCAAATGAGGCAAATCAGATATATCTATCTCAGTGAGCAGAGGAGTGACTGAATAAAATTGTAGGCAGGTTTGCCCTAAGCAGTTGCTAGCTTGAGTTTTCCTTAGTGATTTTCGGGGCCCAAAATATTTTCCTTTCACAAATTCTGGTATATCTTGCTTTCACTCTTTCTGTACAATTATTTGTTTGACTGAAGCATTTCAGAATTAAGCTGCAAACATTGTGATCCCTTACCTTAAATGTGTGAGTGAGCATCTCTATGAACAAAGTTTTTTGTTGTTGTTTTTAAATAATAACCATCACATAATTATCAAATTTGGGAGTGTTTGTTTGTTTGTTTGTTTTGAGACAGAGTCTCACTCTGTCACCAGGCTGGAGTGCAGTGTCATGACCTCAGCTCACTGCAACCTCTGTGTCCACCTCCTGGGTTCAAGTGATTCTCCTGCCTCAGCCTCCCAAGTAGCTGGGATTACAGGCATCCACCACCATGCCTGACTAATTTTTGTATTTTTAGCAGAGACAGGGGACACTATGTTGGCCAGGCTGGTCTCGAACTCCTGACCTCAGGTGATCTGCCTGCCTTGGCCTCCCAAAGTGCTGGGATTACCATTGTGAGCCACTGAACCCGGCAGAAAGCTTTTCTTACACTGAGCCAAAATCTCTCTCCAACTTGCTTTTGCCTTCAAAAACATCACCTAACATGTGTACTCACATTCGCAGGTGTTAGCTTTTCAGAGACTTACAAGACTCGTACCATGTCTTAAACTCCCAGACTACTCCAAGCAAAACGGGCTCAGCTCCTTTACTCATTTGTAGTGATTAGGATTTGGTTCTGCTGAAAATGAGAACATTTTAAATAAGGGTAGCTTACTGACTTTATTTCTTATGTTCCACAGGTTCAGAGGTGTCATTCTAAAGCTGGTAGATGTTTCACAAGTCATCAGGGACCCAGAACCATTCTCTTTTGCTGTCCCCATGTCCTACTGCATGGTTTCCACACTGTGGTGCAAGATGTCTGCTCAAACTCTAGGCATTACATCTGCACTCCAGATGCTGTCAGAAGGAAGGGGTAAGGAATATCATGTCCTTCCTTTTAAGGACATTCCCCAGAAGTCACACAGAACACTTCCAAGTTCTTTGGCCAGAACTTGGTCATATGGCCACATTTAGCTCCAGAGAGGTCAGGAAATGCAGTCTTTTATTTTGGAGATCCCTGTGCCCAGGATAAAATTGGAGGCTTTTTTTCAAGGAAAAGGGGAAAATAGATATTGGTTGACAAGAAGCAGTCTCTGCCATACCTGGATACATGTCTTTGGGTGAGTGTCCCTTATTCACCATTCTGATACTTGTTGGATATTTTTAATGTGTTACAATATGGTTCCAAAATTGTATGTGATATTCCAACAGCAAGTTGGATGCGATGTGTCATATAAATGACCTCAGTGTTAACCAGCATTTGAATACCATGTCTCAATGCTATGCAGCAATAAAGAACATAGAAAGTCAGGGATTTCCATAAATAATCCCTGAGGATATACGCTCATATTGTTTGAGAGGCATTGTGAGGCATCTGCTGTGTGCTTTGGAGTTGAATGAATCGTTGGCAAAAGTGTTAAAAGATATATTCAAGCCAGACATGGTGGCTCATGCCTGTAATCCCAGCACTTTGGGAGGCTGAGGTGGACAGATCACTTGAGGTCGAGTTGGAAACCAGCCTGGCCAACATAGTGAAACTCCATCTATACTAAAAATGCAAAAATTAGCCAGGTGTGGTGGAGAGCACCTGTACTTCCAGCTACTTGGGACTCTGAGGCACAAGAATCTCTTGAACCCAGGAGGCAGAGATTGCAGTGAGCTGAGATCAAGCCACTGCACTCCAGCCTGAGCAACAGAACAAGACTCCATCTCAAAAAAAAAAAAAAAAGGTGGCAGGGGAGGTGGGGCTGGGCATGGTGGCTCAAGCCTGTGATCCCACCACTTTGGGAGGCCCAGGAGGGTGGATCACGAGTCTGGCCAACATGGTGAAACCCCGTCTACTAAAAATACAAAAATTAGCTGGGTGTGATGGTGCACGCCTGAAATCCCAGCTACTCACAAGGCTGAGGCAGGAGAATTGCTTGAACACGAGAGGCGGAGGTTGTAGTGAGCCGAGATCATGCCACTGCACTCCAGCCTGGGTGACAAGAGTGAGCCTCCATCTCAAAAAATAATAATAATAATAATTTTCAAATAGATGTGATATTGGTAAAAATGAAAACACAGATATACAAGATAATGACTTTTCCTTCTAATGAAATATAGAGAAATCTGCCAGTTTTATCCTTTAGAGTAAAAAGGATATCAAAAGTGATCAAAACAGTAAAAATTACCCAAAGAGTAATTTGATAATTTCTATAGGGTGATGTGTATATGTCACAACTTTGTGAATCACTATTCTGGGCATGTATAGGGAGCCATCATATACCTCCATTGGGAATGCTATTTAATGATGTCACTAATACCAGACAAGGACGTGTCCTCAGGTAAGGCTCCATGGAGTAGGCAGCGGTTGAGAAGAGGTGTAATTTAGGTTTTAAAAATTCTATAGTCGGAATTAACCTTGCACATCTCTACCTGTTACAAAGGCTGTCGGGAAAGCTGCGATCTTCTGAAGGCCCCTCAGCTAGTTGCTGCCACTTGTGGGCACTCTGCGAATCTCTCTCTTCTGAGCTCTTTATCCATTCAATTTGTTCTGCAGATAAGTGAGAATGTAACTATTTGCTTAGTCAGTGACAGCATCTCTAACCCTGCAAAGGAAGCTTTTACTATCAGTTTTAGAGAAGTGTAAACAGGCTGGGGATATGAGGTCACTTGCCCACTGTCCTATAATCAGCAGATGGCATGGTTGGCATTGGAGTTCAGATCTGTGTTTTTCTGTACATTACATCCGTTTTAGTGATGCGAAGGAAAAATGAAATAGGGTCAATGAGACAAATGGAATGCAGATTGCTGGAGAAAGAATGCAGGTTGCGCGTTATAAATGCACACACATTTACAGTGCCACTTGAGTTCTGAACTTTGCAGTTAAATTGATTTAAAAATTCGTCTAGAAGTGGTAAAACTTAATCGTCGAATGAGAATATTTGGGTTTGCTTCAGGAGGTTGCAAACCACTTCTTGGTTAGTAGAAATGTGAAATTAAGGGCCACCTTCAGGCGTTTAACTGAATTGTCCTGGAGATGTAATTTGGCTTTCGACTTAAGTAATGTGACGTTTTTGTTGTTGTTTTTGGTTTTTGAAGTTTAAGTTTATCGTGCCTACGGTAAGATGTCGTTCTGGACACGTGCACCTGCTCTCGCATTCACTGACTGCGGTCACCATCCTCCTTAGGGTAGTGCTCCGGCCCACTTGGATCCTGGCCTCACTTTACTAAGCGAACTCGGAGGATGCCCAGAGCTCTGGACCGCAGAGCGGCTCGCGAGAGGCCCCGAGGCTGTAACCGCGCAGCCTCGAGCCGCCGGTGAGGGCGAGGGTGGCTTCCCCGGGCGGTGCCCGCCCCTGGGCCAAAGTGCGGCGTGGGCGGGGCTGGTCACGCGCCTGGATTCCTGCAGTGCATACCCGCGAAATCCGACTTCACAGTTGCCGAAGGCATCCGAAGAAGTGGGATGTGCAAAAGCGCCAGCTAGAAATTCCGCCCACTCTTTGCGCAATAGAGGGCTCCCTCTGCTCTCGGATCTTTCCGGGCCGCCTGCTCCCACTTGGTGAAAAAAATTCCAGAGCGGCTACCAAGGCGATGGCGGGGATTGCGGCAGCTTCAGCGTTCTGCTGCGCAGCGCTCCTGCTTCTGGGGCGCGCGCTGACTACCACAGGTAGGGGCGTGTGTAGGGGGCGGCTGGGGTGGGGCGGGGGCACCTGGCGCCAGAGGGTCCTCGCGGGTCAGTTCCCTAACGCCCCTCCAGGAGTCCGCGACTTCCTGGGGCTGGGGGCTCTATTTTCGAGCGCCGTTCCTTTGTGAGATGCGGAATCCGAATTCAACAGGTTTACCCTGAAGGCCTACGCGGTGCAGGGGCGGCACCAGGGCGAGCGGAGACTGTGACTCCTAGGATGAAGCGCGCTTGACATTTCGGTATTCAGCGGTTCTCTTGCATCATCCAAGGGAACCAGAGCAGAAAAGATAATCAGGGAACGGGGAAAATAGGAAAACCACTCACCCGCGTATCAGCGGGTGCTCCTGGCTTTGCTAAGGTCTTTACTGAGAGAGGGAGGGGGTTGTGGTGACCTGCAAACGTTCTCTTACTTTTTGGAGAACTCGTATGGACATGCTCTACGTTAACTTAAACAGGAGACTAAAAGGCTGAAATGCGTATGTAGAGATATTTAAACTCATTTCTAACTAGAAGAATGGCAATTAAACAACAAGATGCGGCTTGACCCTTACTAGACCGGCCAAAATAGGCTCCTGGATGCCGGGTGGTGGACGGGGGAATGTGGGAATCCCGGAAGCGCTCTGGGCGCCTTGCGTCACTGCAGGTGGAGGCGAGCCACGCGTGGACCTCACCCTGGAGCGCACTTCACGTGGCAGCAGCTTCAGAGCACACCCTTGCTGCTTGCAGAGCAGGTGGACGGTTGTTGAAGGCATACAGCCAAGAAAACAGTGGACAGACAATTCAATACCATTCCTACGATTTGAAAAACAAAAGATACAACCTTAAAGATAAAAACGTACACGTTAAACACCTTAGAACGGCTGCCTGATGGGAGAGGGAAATGGAAATAAAAAAGCGTGGATAGTATTTCTATACGTTTGCAAAGAGCAATGTGAAAATAAGACAGTTCCGAATAAAGTGTGGGCCGAGACGAAAGCCGAAGCTGCGCTCGGCTGGGTGCCGGGAGGCTGGAAGCGCCTGCGCGCTCTGCAGGTCCGGGCTTTCCCCACCTCGGGCTTTCCCCACCTGGAAGTCGCGCCCGGGGGTTCCCGCCGCGCCCGCCCCACGCCCCCTCCGGGCCCGGCGCCCCTTGCCACCTCCTCAGGAGCCTCGGGCCCCCGCCACTTTCGTCTTGCCCCGGTCCCCGCGGATGCTGGCGGTAGTGGGGAAGGGCCGCGAGGCCTCAGGGAAGCGTAGAGCAAGGAGCGCCGTTTGGCGGCGCGGCGCCGCCCAGTGGCCGTGGCGGCAGCAGCAGCAGCAGCAGCAGCCTCAGCTCCAGGAAGGAACTTAGCCGCCGCGGCGGCCTGAGGATTGGACCCCAGAACCAGGCGTTGGTGCCTGACTTTAGCACTGGAAGAGCCTGACGTTGCAAACTGTCAGAAGCTTTCGCCTAACAAAAATCATTTCCATCTACAAGAAATCTCTACACCTTAGAATGGAACATCTACTTCCCTGACTGCTATTCTGTGTGGAAGCAAATTTAAAGTGATACAAGAAAAAAAATCCAATCAAAGGAATTCGTCAGATTTTAATGCATGAGATTCTAACCCGCCTGTGTATGATACTGTCTTTAAAGGTTGCGGATATAGAAAATGTTTGAAAGAATATAGGTTTTATTTCAGAAAAAAAATTCAATAAGAGCAATCCGTAAAGCTGTAGTTAACAGTCCTCCCTGATTGGAGGGCTCTAGAACTGGAGATTCTCTAGGTAGGTTGAACCACTAGTTTATTTGAAAAGATAAATGCATAAATGCTTTTCCGGAAACAAGACTGCAGAAAATTCCAAAGATCTAGTCCTTGAAAAGGGCGAAAGCTTTTAAGCTGTTATTAAGATACTAAACTCTGTACTTTGAAATGAAAATACATGGAGGTCCTGGGTGAGCTCTTGGGCACTCTGAAAATAGATGACTTTTCCCAAATTTGCCTTCTAAATTTTGATTTGTTGATTTAAATTTTTAAAATTTATGTAGTCTAACACTCAGGTTTGTATTCCTTTTAAGCACGTTAGTGTTTTTGATATTTTCCCCTTCTCTCTCCCCTCCCCAATCTTCTCTCTCTCTCTCTCTCTCTTTTTTTTAGTAGTCACTTTTCACTGAAAAGCGTGACAATAGAATTGGGTGGCCTGGCTATTTCTCTCGTATCCGTGGCTCCTCCATTCCTTGGTTGGCCCCCCGGGGGAAGAATACTGTTTTTTCGTTACAGTTGACCCTATCTTCATTTTGTAGTTCAAATCTGTCTTTGCTTTGATACATGGAACATAATAAAGCTTTTCACCATGTTTCCCTAATGTCGATGTTTAAAAATCGACTTGCACAAATGTTTTTTGAGTAAGTTGGTAGGTTTTTGTATACATTTTTAACATTAATTAACATTAATTTTGAAAACTTTAGATATGTTGGATGTGACTAGTGAAAGGACGTGTTTGATGGTAACAAAGGGAATTAGATTTCTGACATTCATCTAAATATTGATGTCTAGCTCTGCATTGTTAATAATGAGTCTGACTTCTTTGGAGTTGTACTCGTCTTTGAGATGGAAAATGTAACATTTTGAACTGTGCTTGCACTTTTTGTTGGAATGGGTATAAGCGTAAACTTGCTAGCAACCTACTGTTCTAAAATGGAAAACATCTAGCCAGTCACAGTGGCTCATACCCATAATCTCAACACTTGAGAAGGTCATGGGGGTATTGCTTGAGCCCAGGAGTTGGAGACCAGCCTGGCAGCTTAGTAAAACTCCATCTCTACAAAATATAAATAAATTAGCTGGGCATGGTGGCATATGCCTGTAGTCCCAGCTATTTGGGAGGCCGAGGTGGGAGGATCACTTGAGCCCAGGCGGTAGAGGCTGCAGTGAGCAGTGATAGCACCACTGCACTCCAGCCTGGGTGACAGAGTGAGACCATATCTCTAAATAAATAAACAGGAAAACAACAAAAAAAGAGAAAATTGTCTTTACAATAGCATCAAAAAGAGTAAAATACTTCAAGTAAATTTAACAAAAGAAATAGAAAACATATACTCTGAAAACTGTAAAATAGTGCTGAAAGAAATTTAAGATCTAAATAAATGAAATGGAAAAAATGTCCTGTCTTAGTCTTGCCAGCCTGCCATAACAAATATGTACTGTGTGACTTAAACAGAAATTTATTTCTCATGATTCTGGAGGCTGGGAAGTCCAAGATGAAAATGTGGATGACCTGGTTTCTGGTGAGAGCTTCATTTCTGGTTTGTAGAAGGATAGTTTCTTGCTGTATCTTTACATGGTGGAGAGAGACATGTATCTCACTGTCATGTCTTTTCTTTTCTTTCTTTCTTTCTTTCCTTTCTTTCTTTCTTCCTTCCTTCCTTCCTTCTTTCCCTCCCTCCCTCCCTTCCTTCCTTCCTTCCTTCCTTCCTTCCTTCCTTCCTTCCTTCCT